AAAGTGATAATTGAGAATGAATATTCATTCATGTTATGGTGGAGATTGAATTTTCATTCTTAGGCAGTGGCAAGTGGGGAACTGCACTGGGATGCTCTTCTTAAGGCCAATGTCCAAGCAGCTCCTATGAGTAGAATGAAATATGAAGCTTTAAAAACAGAGACCTTTTATCTATGAGATGGCTAAGTGCTACATTTGTAGCATGGGATGCTCAATGGAGTATTAAGAGTGTGGGTTTTCCTACCTCAATAGTTAGCTTTAGAGAGATGGTCTCCATCTTACTTAGGTGCCCCTTCTCTCTTTTTCTTCAGTCTGGGATCAAGTTTGAAATACAATGTATGATACGCAAGACTGTGAAGGGTTTGACACTTCTTGACACGGAGATATACGACGGCGTCTTGTTATCCAAATATCAAAGTTATTCAAGCCCCAATCACATAATCGTTTGAGATTAACTGCTTACTTTTCTTTGCCTCTGACTAGACCCTTAACTTATGGTATATTCCCACTGCGTCCAACAATTGGTGGGGCCCTCTGTCTACTCAACGTTTCCATATTAGGCCAATCAACTGGCTCATTCACCAAGTCATATGATCCTGTTCATGTTGCTTATTAATAGACAAACTCATGATTGTCTCTGTTCCTCCATCTTGTGTCTTTTTTGGTCTGAAATTAAGTTTAAAATACAATGTACGGGAGGTCTCTGCTTTGCCTATTATTTCAGCCAAAAAGATCTTTAGTGTGAGGGAGCATATTAATTAACAAATTACAACATAACTATTTATCGTCTTTTACCTACCAACTTCTGCTTTTGGTTGAACTGCTCAGCACATACTGGATGAGGGAATGCTCTAGATGTTCTCTACCCTAAGGATTATCTTGGCTTATATTTGAATATTCTAACCATTGCAGGAGTGCAATTGTCCTAGGCACCGGTATTCCTCCTTCTCTCTTTCTGGTTTGGAATGCTGTTACCCTTGGAACTGTTGGTAGTAATGAAATGGGAGTGGACCCATTAGAACAATTGAGATCCACATATGGAATAGTTGGAGTACGTCCGTACAACATTTCATACATTTTTTAGCCTGAACTATGATAAAGACACCTGAAGTTTTGGCATCTGATTGTTGAATTTTTGTTCCTTCTGACAACCTGATTCTGCAGCCTATAGTTGAAGCACTCTCGCTTCTTGCAATTGTAACATCTTGCATCGGATATGTTTTGGGTTTGTCAAACTTTCTTGCTGACTGCAAGTGTCCCTTTTTCTTTTTGGGGGTTCGGTAATAATGTGGAGCTGAGAGTTTGACAATTTTTTTGTGATTATTTCTCTTTATGTTTCACTATATATATATGTGTGTGTATCACATTTTTTAATAGCCTTGAATCTATTTCTTTTTTCCAATAGATGTCAAATAATGCTTAGGCCTTGGGGGTTGGACTTTCTGCAGCCGACAGAAGATCTCAACTTTTCATATGCAATGAAAAGGTCATTTAGGCTGCGAACTTGGACAAAATAGAAACCGTCTATACCTTCTACTGAAACTTCAATTTAATTGAGTTATGCTGCAACTAAGATTGACCTCTTAATCTTCTGTCTCTTCTTTTTTAAATTAAAGAGGCAGACACTAATAGCTTGAAATTATAAATAGGATCAAACCCACGACTTTGCAGCATCCATGCCACTAGGTTACATGGCCTTTAGCATCATTTCTCCATTGTAGTGCAGAAGGTTAATGAAGAATTATATCATTTTTCTCATGTCACTTATTTGGGTTTTCAGTATAGCAGTTCCCATCTGGTCAAAACAAGCCCCTGCCATTTGTTTTAGCTTTAGTCCCACCGCTGGTACTCTCATTGTCGGACCTATGGAGGTATATCTATAATGCATGCCTGGGCATGTCTCAGTACTTTTGTTTGTTGATTTTTTTCATCAAGTTAATGTTCAGCCTGGAAAATGGAACTATGTTCATTATTTATTTTTTCTATATAACTCATAGTTTATTTTTTTACTGGGAATTAATTCTGCTGCAGCAAGTTTTTCTCATAGTTTCGTTTCGATTTGTAGTGTTGGTGCTCTTTGGAATTATTCCACCTGCAATGTCCTGGTCTGATAGGTACTCAAATTCGAATTCAGATTCATCTCGACCTGTGAAACTACCTGAGCTAGTTCCCGGAGGGAAGACAACTCTATTGCTGGTTCTTGGAGATGCTGGATATATTGTTCTTTCTGAATTGCTTGAGAACTTTCAGGGCCTTCAAAAGATTTAATTTTCTATTTTCCATTTTTTGATGATTAATAAAGTATACCTTAGTATAATGTAAAGAACTACCTTGGAATGAATGGTTCCGTACAAAATATATCCATCTGTACTCATCTTGCACTCCCAGACTGTTTCTTAAAATCTGCTCTTTGTTTTGTCCTTGAAGCAGAAGGATTTAACAAGATACTAGGTTTTCTTAAATATATACTCATTTGCTTCTTAATGTAAGAGTTATTTAATTAATTTTAGTAAATTACTTAATTCTAATAAAAATGACCTGATTTTTCTAAAATATCCCTATACAACATCATATTACATTTGTGCTTATAAATTAGATAAATTAATTAAAAAAATGATAAATATAAAGGAAAAAGTATATTAAGGTTTTATATTTAGGAATAAAATCGACTTTCTATCTAGTTCTTACATTTAGTATCGGAGAAAATTTTTTTTTTAATGAGAGTATAAAAGAAAAATTTTAACAAATGTTTTAGATAAGAAGATGATGTTTCTTATAAATAAGACCAGGAGAACTCTGAAAAAAAAAAATCTTATAAAAATGACTAATGGAAGTACTTGTTTTACAAGAACTAGGTTCAAACGTTGTGGTGGATGTAATAGTTGTAGTGGTAAGTAATATTTTGGTATTTTCTTAGAAGTGTTTTGAATTGTGAGGTCATCTAACTCTGCCAAAATTTCTTATTTTCAGAAAGGGGTAAAATAGGAGTTGCTCATCAAAGGGTTAGGTGGCGAAACTTGCTTAACTTGTCAACCATCATTTGAAAAAGTATGTTTAGCCTATCAATCAACTATTATTTAAATTTTGTTATTAGGAGTGTGCAAAAACCTGATAATTAGGTTCAATTTGATTTTAACTCACAGTGATCTAGGCGAGTCTGGTCTAATTCAAATGAATAATATGATAAAAATAAATTAAACTAGTTGGTTGGGTTTGAGATCAAGTGGTTAGACCACCTAGACTAGTCCATTTTGGACCAGGTGATTTTTTTAAAAAAAATATTTTGTAAATTAAGATTTTTTTTATTGTTATCTAATATTGTTAGAAATATTTATGATTTATAATTAAGTCTTAATGTTTTAGGATTATTTTTATATGTTATAGGTTTTTTTGTTGTTGTTCTAATTGTGTTAATTAGTATGAAATCTTGATTCTCATGAAGAAAAAAACTAAAAAGAAAAAATTAAGGTTCTGGGTACTAGTCGAACCAGTCCAGGTAATTTGGTAGACCAAGTCTAGTCTGACTTGACCTTAAATTACTACTAAATTGGACCAAATTACGGACTATCAAACCTAACCTGACAAAAAATCAAATAAGACTTTAGGTTACACTCTGATTTGGTTAGTTTGTCACCTCTACTTGTTATCAAGTTTGGTCTTGGGGGGAAGTTTTACTACCAACTTGCTTATTCCCCTGACCCCCCATCTGCCAAAAAACAAAACAGAGAGAAACAAATTGAAAGTAATTATTTAAAGAAAAACGATATCATAATTAATTTTCTTAAAATCAACAAGTGAAATTTAAAAAAAAAATTAGAACTTTTATTTATTATTATGGCTAAAGTATACATTTGATCTTTTAACTTTATACATGGTTTTTATCTGGTTTCTTAACTTTAAAAAGTATACTTTTAGTCTTTAACCTTAAATTTTTTTTTCAAAAAATGATGACATTAAGATTTTAAATGTTGATAAAATATTCTCAAATGCTAACATATTGAGTTTAGTTTTCAAAATATTCATTATTGTTACAAAAAATCATCATTAAAGTCTAATAATTTTAGGGTTAAAGGACCAAATGTATGTTTTTTAAAGTTAAAGGATCAAATTGAAACTTTCAACAACATTAAAGGACCAAATATATAGTTTAGCCCATTATTATTATTCCATTAATTTTTTTTTTTCTTATTACTCATTAGCGCCTCAATCAACGGTGAGACCTAAACAGGATTGAAGATTTTAGTTAGGCAAGATAGAATATATAATATATATATATATATATATATATAATATCCGATTGAAGTTTATTTTGATTTAATTATCATGTTTTCCTCCTCCATTCTAAACATTTATTTATAGTAATCTGTAGTAATAGAAATAACAAAGTTAGGATCATAGTGGGAGGGATCTGGGTTTGAGGCATAAGAACTAAAGAACATGCAAATATAACATCTATCATTCACTGTATGATGAATTCATAGCGGTGCAAGAACAGTGATTAGTACAAATATTTGAAATCCAAGATAAGATTCAGTTAAATTGATAACCTCTGTCAGATCGTTGAAAGGTTATGGAAAGGTAAAGCATGACCAAAACGTACACATGCCAGGCCAAAGTTCATGCTAATAGGGTAACCCCAAAGAGTTACTGTACATCTCTATACAAACCATGCTTAAAGCCAAACACATCGCCAGGTTCTGAGAGATCACCCTTCACACTGGCCAAGCCAGCTCTTGCATCACTAAGTTGTTCTTCTAAGGTGCTAATTTGAGACTCCAACTGGTCCAGCTGCTTCAACTTGTCATTATGTTCAGCTTGCATATCCATCACTCTTTGGCGAATAGATGCGAGCCGCATCTTGTTAAAGCCAAAATATTCCAGTTCATAACATAGATTTTCAAATAACTCCATCTTTGAATCATCCATTGTCTTTGGTGTTTCTAATTCTAAAAATGCCAACATGTCAACCAAAGACTCGTATCCCACCTGGCAAATCTTTAGAGTCCTCTGTGAGAGTTTCCATTCCCATAAATGAGGATAATTGACAAATGCTTCTTTGAGTAAGCGAGCCCGTGTCTCCTTAATCATAAAGAGACCATGAAAATCAACCAACTCCTCTGCTTGAGGTGAAGATGAAATTACTGCTTCTGCAGTAAGGGGAGTGGTAGCGATGCTGCTAGTTGGTGAATGCATTGCTGATTGCCCCGGCAGAGGAAGAGACCCTGCAGATAAAATTGATACCAATTTCATCATATAAAATTGGAGAAAGGTAGATTCTCTAGTTGTAATTTGCAGCTTATTTGAATGTTGGAAACATTTCTACTGATATTTTGAAGTTATTAAATGATGAGAAACCCAGGGAGATGTATTAATTCTTTTGAGCAATTCAAAAGATACCTTTGTATTCTTGACCAGCATGTTGTGGGTCGGCCGCAATCTGTGGCTGTTTGCCAATCAACAACTGGAAATGGAACCAAAAATCATAGCATTTTAGGTTGTCCTCTTTATAATGTTATCCCACCAAGAGGCAAGTGATGAAGTTACCTCTGGTGAAGTTCTGACTGTTGATTCTTCTCGTGCAGAATCTTTTTGAAAACCAACCTTTGCTGTTTCCGTATGACTCTGTGCATTAAATGACAAGTGATATATATTAGTTTCTAAGTTTAACTTCAGCGATGAACTTAATTTTGTACACCTAAAATGAAAGTAATTTAATGATGTAAATGAAAGTAACAGGACTCAGAATACAACTCTGTCGAGATCAGTGAACCAATTATTACATCAAATTCTTTTGATTGAGGATGAACCCTGTAGTGTCTTGAACCTTTGCGACATTTGCATCAAGTTCAACCTGTGGTTCTTTATCGATCAACTCCTGTGTACGAACCACCAATATTAGCTTTCTACGTTATATTCTATAAAATGTCATTTCTATAATGAAGAGTCTAATGAGCCTACCTGTGTTGATGTTCCCACTTTTGATTCTTCTAGTCCGTATCTTTATGAAGGCCTCCCTTTCCTCTTTTTGTGCAGCACTGCAATAATTTCTTAATGAAAAATTTCAGTTTTTAAGTTACCTTCGTAAATGAACTTGCTTTTGTGAACCTAAAGAAAAACGCTCAGGTCAAATAAGGCTAAATTTAATACCGGATTTCAATACCATGGCTAAAGCTAAATTTAATATGGCCCCTATAATTTTTTTAAAAAAAATTCTTAATTGAGAAACTAACTCGAGCTACTTAAAACAGTTTGCATCACAAAGCATGTAAGGAAATTAAAGTTACCTCAATATCTGCTTTTGCTCCATTTTGGCATGAGTCAGACACAAGCATAGCATCAATATTCCATATAATTAGAGGCATCAGTAAAATTTAGATCAATTTTTGGTGTCATAAATCATACATGTTCATGTCAGGGATAAAATTAATATGTTAATGTATATGGGGGCATAGTTAACAATTGAGTGAAACTACAACAACCACAAGAATAATTTACGAAGAGAAATTCACCATTGAAGAAAGATAGTTATAGGAATCAGGATATACCTCTTGCAGGTTCATTGAGTCAACTGGACAGAATTTCTGCTTTGGAAGGTCTTCTAGAGTGACGACAATTTCAATTTCTTGTGAGTGCGGAAGAACCTCTGCAGCTGCTCGTACTTCATAGGGTAAATATTCAGGGAGCATTTATTGATAAGAAGTCGCAGTACCGTACGTAGATTTAAAAAAAAAAAACAAGAAGAAAAATAGGTATCCATGAAGATTACAAATGAAAATAATGATAATAATAATAATAACAAGTAAGAAATTCATACCAGTACCATCCTGCTTGAGCCAGCGAAAATTTGAACTTGTTGCGATGGATCCACTTGGAATGTCATTGTTGCCCCTCTGATTCTCTTCATCTATACGATCATCTTGAATATTAGAAGGGACAATAGCGAAGCTTCTGTCTTCATTTGAATGAGTTGATTCAGTATGTGATGTTGCTTCTTTGTGTTGGAGGATGTCAACAACTTCTCTCAAACCTGAAGCCATGGTAGGTGACAAGGAATCTACAGATGAATTTCCAACATCTACCTCATCAAATTCTTTGCTTTCTTGACAGCTTGTGGAACTCTGCTCAATTACATTACTTTTGTCCTCTAGTATTGCATATTCCACTTCCCTGTGTTTTTCTTCTCTCCTGTCCATATCTTCACCATCATCATCATGGTAATCTTCCTCTTCCTCTTCTTCTAAATGCAATTTCAGAAATTAGAAATTAGCTTAGAAAAGAGGTCATACATGAGTCACCGCAATAAGTCAATGTATTGTTTCTTAGGTCATGTAAAATGGGTTTTTTTTTTTTTTTTTTGCCCAAATCTTTTCCATTGAAAAATTTGAAAAGAATTGTTCACCTGGGCTTTCGTATTCTTGAAGCAAGTCGTCTGGTTTTAAAACATCAGTTAATGATTGTTTCAGCTTTGGACAATCACATTGCAACTTAATGCCTCAGTAGATAATGATCAGACTTGGCAGCTTCACTAAATATAAAACATTGAGCTTAGGAAGCATTTCTTCCGCATCACTTGAGAAGCTTCCTTACTCTTTCCTTTTACTACATATTCTAATCCAGAGCAGTTTATTATCTCCAAAGAGGTCAACCACATTAAGGTTTTTGCAGTTAATGCTGTGAACAACGAACTCATCCCTAGGCATGATTTTACAATCAGGCTTTGAAGATTGGATAGATTGAATGATTCTGGAAACATGACACCTTTTACAGCTTTTAATTTACCTCCTTTCCCCCCATGGATGAGCTCTGGTGGATTTTTTAGACTCAGGAAGCTAGGACTTGGAAAGATAGCTTGTCCACCATCTTCTTCGACTATTTCCTTCCTTTTATCTGCTTTAGCAGTTGATACAGTGAACAACGACCCTAACATCGGACAAGATTTTACTGCAATCTTTTGCAGATTGCAGTTATCGCTAAATGGCCCACGTAGATTCTTTTATATCAGATCTACAGAAATACTCCCTCCGTTTCTTATTATAAGAGACATTTGATGCTTATGGCATGTTCCTATATATAAAAGACACTTAAAAGTTGTCTTTATTTTTTTGTATTGATTTCCTATTTTACCCCTATTTATTTTGTCTCCAACTTATACTCTCTCTCCCTCCCACTTCTCTTTCTTTTAATAATTTAATTGTTCTCTCTCATACTCTCTCTCCTTATTAATAGGGGCATTGTTGGAAAAAATATTATACTTTTTACACATTAATTGTCCTCAACTAATTTTAACTATTTTTTTTATCAATGTAATTTGATTATTTGTCTCTTATAATAAGAAACGGAGGGAGTAATATTTATACATTAATCAATCATGCATGCATGTTCTTCTTCTTCTAAAGAGAAACAAAGAAAAAAGTTGTATGCTTAAGGTGCATGTTTAAGTGTACCTGTGTGCTGGCTATCATAATACTCATGCTCAATGATTTGCTCTAGCTGAGAACAATCTTCTATGATTAGTTCACGCAATGTAGATACGTATGTCATCATCTGGAGTGAGAAAATGCATTTTACCTCTCCACATTTATATATTTTTACTCTTCGAAGGTTGTGAAGTTGTTTGTGACCCTCACTTATGTACCTCAAATTAGGTAGATTCTCCATAATCAAACTTTGGAGGCATGATAACGATAATGACTTTGATTCCATACCAATTGTAGGTTGGGTTAATTGAAAAATGCCTTCCATTTTGCAGTCTTCAAGGTCAAAGCTTTCTGCACCACTTTGCACAACCATGTCTCTGCTTTGTTTTGCTTGAAGTTCCAACTCCTATAAAATTACCCCCATGATCAATAAAATAAAAGTATCATGATGGAAAACAAATAACTAACCATTTAAGGTGCATTCTTCTTAGTCCCTATATATGTGTGTCTAATAAAAAATTACATTACCTGCTCACTAGACTTGCTACCACCTTGCTGAATCGCTTCTGAATCTAAATCAGATGTGATGCTCAAATGTGGACATCTCTTTCTATATAGTTTGGCAACATCTGGCCAACTTATGTGATAATTTTGTGGACAGATGCTTGTGATATTTGGCAAGTCAATAAGTTCAATACCCTCAGAACTGGAAGATCAATCCTGCTATTAGATTTGCCTTGATTTTGACCTTCTTCACATCCATGTTTACCAAACACATTTTCCAACAGACCAGCATCTTCTACTTCGAGAGACTCTAGTTGCAAAATGCCACCGAGAAAAGATGCTGGTATGATGGATTCCAAATGTGGACATCCCTGGACGTAGACTTGTTTCAATTTTGGGAAAATAGGCCCCATTGGAGTAATATCATCATCTTCCTCCTCATCTTTTATTATATGCTTTAGGGCAATGCAATCTCGTACTTTCGAAGTTTCCAACAATAAAATAGTTTGAGCAGTAGAATATGTTAAGATAGATGTCAACTTTGGACAATCCTCCAATTGTAAATGCTTGAGATGACGAAAATTTAGCATGCTGGCAGAGTCAATACAGCGCAGCTGGCTACGTTCCACTATAAACAGCTCTTATAAATTCTCAAAAAGATTGAAAGGAGGCGGACCATGGTACAAGGCCTTGAAGAACTTCATGGTTTTAATTTTCAGCTTTAGCAACCTAGAGAAAACAGTTGTAGCTTGATATAGCGGATGATTTGTGGTGTCAATGAAGCATTCTATGTTGTCAGAATCATGAAGTAAAAATTCTGTTAACTCACACTCCCTATCTATTGGAATCATGTCAGGGAAGATGTTTTTGCAATCTCCTTGGACATTTTCCAAGAAAAAAGCCTCTAGATTTTGTGCCATATTCTTCATTTCTTCATTTGAGGTAGGGATGTTGAAACCATTTAAAGATATGAATTTTCTTATCGAATAACCATCCAAAGTATCTATGGAACTTCCAATTTCAAGATGGTACCTTTTTAGCACCTGAGAGGAGCTAATATGGTGAAATAGTGTAACAACATTATGATCATTTGACACCATTTCTGGAAGACTGTTTTCAACAAAATATAGCTCTTCAAGTTGGGAACATCTTGCAAGCACCTCAAAAGGATTGCTTCCTATTTTGCACCCTAATACTTCCAACAAACTTAACCTTCTTAGTTCTGCTAATTCTTCGGGTAGCTCCTTGATTACACAAAATAACAGTTCAACAGTGTCAAGCATCTTCAGTGATCCCAAAATAGAGATGTTGTTTAAGGTCCATCCTCTGAAGCAACAAGTTTGAAGATTTTTTAACCAATCCATTGATAGAGGCAGCATTAGACTCGGGGTTGTCAATATAGATGTATGTATTATGGCCAGAACCTTGAGCTTTATCGTCTCAATGAAGAAATCATCTGAAAACTCAGCTAAACATTCACCATCATTGGGTAAAAACAGAAGCTCAAATTGGGGACAATTTAATTGACTTGTGTATTCCTTTATATCATGACAATATAATTTTGTTGTGTCTTTCATATAACCCCTCTCTGTTAAAGCTATTAGGTTCTCTTCAGGCCCTATGATCACTTGAATTTTCTTTTCCGACATAAAGGCTGCTTCCCGCACCAAGTCGTGCATGCAACAGGATTGTCTTTTTTCATCTACCAGTAGCAACAAAGAAGAGTTGGTGAGCTTATTAATCGCGCACTGCTATCCTAGCAATTTCATATGTGTCAGCATAATTGAATATGTCCAATCCAATTATACGTGTGCACAAGGTGATTGTACGGTTTGGCAAGTTCGGACAAGGTGCGGGCGTGTTGCTAATTAGATGATGAGGCATTTGGCTACCTTAAGAGAGTCATAGTTACTCCCGCCGTTTACCCGCGCTTGC